TCATCAATATTATTGTGATTCATATCATCATTAGAATTGATTTTTTTTTAAATAGTTTATCATATATCATATTTGATTTACATATAAATTTTATTTTTTTATTGTCATAATCATATGGTGTATCAATTCTCGATATACCAAATTCACTATTGAACAGCATATCTGTTATTTGGTCTTCAAATTTTTTTCTTAAATCAAAATATAATATAAATAATGTTCAATTGTCACTAACACGACGAAGATAGTCAAATGGAATTCCCATGTATGTATTTTAAACTTGATAAATTTAGATAATTTATGAATAAATTTCATAAAATGTGTTTGTTTTATTTTATCTTTATAGAATAAAACATATTGATCTTCTTCATTTTTATTGATATAATATTCGCATAATGTGTTATTAATGTTACAAAGAAATTTTTCATCCATTGATAAAATTCTCATTTCAACAAAAGCATGTATTGCTGGATATCCATGATCGTCATTGTTCGCATTAATTACATTAATATATTTAATTAATGAATATGGATCTTCTATTGCCATGTTAGATGTGACTATACTTTCACTTTAAATAAATCTAGAAAAATGAAACATACATTGGAGGATATGTTTTATTGTATAACGCATAATTCACTACCGAGAAATATGTTTTAGTTCGTAACATATTTTTTGAGCTCACCAAACATGTCTTTTAAACTTTTCATGTATTTTATATTCTTTTATAATACAACCAAAGAACAATCAAATGTTCAGATTCAAGTAAAAAAAGGAAAAATAAGCAAAGTTTTGAAGGAAAAATAACATAGACATCAAATTTTCAATGATTTGAAAAATATGAAATGTGATAATTACTTTTATATCCAAATTTGATAACAAAAGAGTTTTGTTTATTAATCATAGTATATTACGCTGTGACCGCAATTATAAGTGAGGATGATGAGAAGCTATTCATATAATAATCCAAGCGCACTTGATCATCGATCATCATAGTCAGAGAAAAATAAATAATATAATCAATAGAATGCTGTTCGCTTGACCAATAGACAACAAGAAAGGAATGTTACTTAGAAATAACGGAATACACTAGAGAGGGAACACTTGCGGAGGCTCAGATATTTGGAGAACTTGTACAGATGTAATCCTGAGCTTATGTTTAGTAAGCAAAAACTCTTTGAACAAGACTACGTTCAGCCAGATATTAGATAACTCCATAGGTGGTGGAGCCATTAGAGTTGGAAAGGCTCAAACCTTGCAAAGAAATGAAGGGGATACTTGGAGAGATTCGATTTTTGAGAAAAATTCTATGATTCGCTTTCTGAAGTTATATCGAATGTCCAAAAATTGTTATCAACGTATAGTTTACTTTGTATATGTCTTTGCATACACAAATGTTAAAATCTCAAATCATTAAAAAAAAGAGTTTCAGTGGTTTCTAAAACAAAAGTCAAAAATCCTGTTGACTTAGCCTCATGGACTTTAGAAAACTGAAAGAAAAAATGTATAAAAGATTTTTACTACCGATTACATTAGAGTTAACACACATATTTGAGATAATATCTATGCTTTCATTTAATTTGGACAGAAAACTGATGAAAGCTTGAATTTCTTTTAAAGATGTGTCATTAAACTCTCCATAATATTCGGAGAAAAGAGTTTTCCTAACATTGTAATCGATTTAGAAAGAGAAAAAAAGTGAAAATATACGAGACACTGTGATTTTCATCAAAGCAGTAGACTGAATGCTCCAGAAATGGTATCATGATTATTAAAATCAGGCTTAAGTACAAAAACGCATTATTGAATGCAATGATAATACCAGAGTAATTCGTTTTTCGGCCGACGATCATCTTAAAGGATGCGAGTGTGAGTGTAGATGGAGGTATAGGTGTGGTATAAGTGTGTGAGGGTGTAGGTGTGGATGTACGTAAATAGAAGACACACTCGTATCGACACTCTGAACTCACACCCACACCCACACACATGCCCTCACCGACACCCACACTCCACACCCACACGCACACCTTACATCCACGCCCATATTTACACCCACACACCCACATCTACAGGAAAAATTGACCAAATTGACCACTTTATTATCGCACCTATTTAACAGAGTTTTATTTCTACACATTTCTTTTTTCAATGGTAAAAACCGCAGATTTGTAGCTCCCTTTCTTCTCGGGATAATTAAAAAATATTAATGTACATTATATTTTGACGTCGAGAATAGATTATTTTATTTGAAATTCATTTTCTTTTCAATTTATGCATGTTTTTCCGTTTATTTTATTATTTCTTATTTCACTCCATTGGTTCCATTTCCGATCATTAGAATAAATTTCAATAAGATCATGTTCGTTACACTTGAGTAAATGTTGTATTTGTTTTATTTTCTCTTCATATTTCTTTTTAATATGCTGATTCCATTGATGTTGGTCAATATTGATTTTCATATAAAGATGAAATTGTTTTCGGTATTTTCCATGATTTAGAGTCATACTTTGCCAATCACATCCTTCTTCATCTAAAGCAATTTTGGTATCTTTCCAAAACTGTGTCATTTCTTCTTCTGTCATCTTCGATAATCGTTCAATATGTCGTCGTGGTGTAACTATTAATTTATTTCTCAGTTGTGCATCGAGCCAAATACATGTTGTTGGATTTTGTTTAATCAAATTCAGCTTTGATAATTCATTGTTCATATCACACCAATTACATACTTCACTCTTAACTGGACCTGATTGATCTTCAGCATTATTGAATATGAAATCCACAGTCAAACCATAGTGACCTTGAGAACGTAATCGCATGTGAAAGTCATATATTTTATGTTTTTGTTCAGTCACGAATAATAGTTCATAAAAATATTTTTGACTCAAGTGTCGATCAATTAACTGTTTGAATGACCATGGGCAGTGGAATGAATAGCCACACTTGAATGAATATGGTGTTAACAAAATGGAATTTATTTCACTGTTAGTTTCCGTCCCTGGTTGTGTTTTAAGTGATAGATATGAGAATTTATCAGTGAAATTATCTTGTTTAGCAGTCATTGTTGTTTGTTTTTAATCTAGAGCTTAAATGAAACACTTGTTAAGATTGACAAGAATTGTTACAATAGTATTCATTCATTTCATAAAAGTGTCATTGACGAATAAACTTATCAACAGACTCGTAACGTGTGGTCCATGATCTACGCTTTCATTATGAAAATAGTACATTGATCAAGTATTCCTATACAAAGCTCGATTGATCTCCGACTTTTATATTACACTAAAAGATAATCTACAAGACTATTCATCGCTAGAGTAATATTCGTGTTACAGATGTCCAAACCACCTTTTATATGATTAGGCTGGAACATTCAAATGGATACACCAAATTCATTGACAATTTTCAAGTCTATAGATATACTCAATGATTGAAGTCTTGAAGCGGATACTCCAACTATAGTATACTCTTTAACATGAGGATTTTGGATGAATACGATGAAATTTATGGAACATATTAGGATAGGAGAAGACAGTAATCTTATGAACACAATGCATGACTACAGTACAAAAGGAGAGTTGACAAGGAGTCCTCAAGCTACAGCGTGCTATCTAAATATCGCATGCAGCCGATTTCTAGCAAGTAATTCTCGTAAAATACTTCACAAATGAACCTCTTCTCAGTCTCAAAAATCGACAGTCAAAAATTATAAAGCAGCATCATAAAACATCAACTACAAACCAATCAGTTCACTAAAAGCAAATAGTGATAGAGTACATAGCTAAGACTTACCTGCAAATCACCAAGCTAGCACAAATACAACAGCTCTCAATACTTTGATGAGATCTGGTTGCAAAAAGATGTTCTCTGAAGCAGCAATACAAATTCAATTCTATGCGTACAGGTTCAAGTATTTTATTCAAGTTAAATATGTGCTTGCAACAATTATTCCATTAACCGAAATGGCTTGAACGTCGACATGAAAGAACAACTCATGGACAATTATAAACTGTCTCTGAAGAAACTAGAGCAATACGGAAAAATAAGCCCGATATATTTCACCGAACAATATGAAATTGTTTCGATGTAGTTGATAAGAAATTTTTGTATCACATACATAAATATATAATTCTGATGAATGTGGACATATGACTATCTCAGCGCTATGATTTCAGTCATTTCTGACCTATCAAGATATTTGCATTATTTTATCTCTCTATCAAATAGTGTCAGTTATATGTCAATTGATAAATATTGAGACTAATTTTTATCTTGAAAAAACAGACGTGTATCATAGAAAATCTTTTCCTTATCTCGCACGTTTGATTTTAGAGACATTTATTCCGTATATGTATCTATCACATAAATATATGAGCAATCAAACTGTCAAGTGATATCGATCGTTAGTCAGAAGTTTGTATCTGAAAAAGAGCACTATTTTGATGATTTTTTTCAATTCTGCTGTCAACAAGCTTGTCAAATATAATCCCGATTGCCATAAAAATATATCAATGAATATAAGTAATGAACATGAAGAGCAGAAAAATTAGTTTAATACAAGAGAGATTACTATTAATATGTTTCAAGTTCACTCATTTTAATATTCTCGACTTAACTTCATTCACTCGTTGATTGTGAACGGCGTAAAGAAACTGCTGATTTTGACGCTTCTAGACTAATGATAACCTTTTGAAATAAATGTAACAACTTTCGGAATAATCCCTGTGACATCAAGATGTGAAACTTGATGGCGCCGTTTTACATGAACATAAAGTGATTCTCATTTTCGTAATGATCTGCCACAAGATCAAAGAGAATAATCTTCAAGTGTCTTTGGCAATATAGAATTTGACTTAATATAAAGAAGGAGATTAATTTGTGTACTCTTAGAAACTTGCTGATTACTATAGTGGATATAGATGTTAATCATCAAACAGATATTCTCATGGCAGAAATAAAGAACGTTTATTTTGAAATCGTTTGACTTTTCTTTCTTCTCATCTACTCGAATGCAATAATAATACGAGGAAGGGTTGAAAAAGAATTTTTCTGTGTAGAGAGATAAAAATCAACAGTGTCTTTTGGTGATTTTAGTTACATGAAATAGTTGCAAAAAAAACATGAAGAGAAGCAAATGATGACTTTCATTGGCATAGTATTTTATTGGTGATCGAGAATTTTTCAACTAGAAAAGAAAACGAGAGAAAAGACTCAATATCTACTTATGTTTGATGCATATTAAAAAAAAAATTTCAATAGACATTAAACTTGTCTGGCAACGATCGCGAAACTACGTTACAGAGTAAGTAATCATCTTTGATTCTTTTTCAAGAATACAAACGTTCAGGAATTCAACGCAGACTCGACTGAAAACTGTTCAATAGAATATACTATCCTAATAGGACTTTTCTTTCAAATGAGCATGAAAGCATATAGCGAGAAAGACTGATACTTGAGATTGTGGAAAATAGGATATTGTCAAGTTTTTGTAAGTGCTGATTGTTCGATTGTTTTTTAATATGACAGAAACATCTTTATTTTGATTTCTACATAGTTTATCTGGTGGAGATGAATAAAACTGAGCGATCAATCTCCATTATGACTCGTCTCAAACATCGTCAGTTCGATGATGACGACTTGAAGATTTGGTAAATGGCCGACGATTGGAAAAAAAACCATTCTTCATCTCATTACGGTCAAATTCTGGTATATGTTGAACATATCCACCATAACCAATGCTCTACAAACATTTTCATCTGTCCTCTGAAAAGAATACAAGCGCTAGTTTGTGGCATTCGGTCAATGAAGTTTTATTTTCTTTACTACTCCTTTCTATTTCTTTATAAGACATGAACTTAGCAATGTAGATTATGTATCGACAGCATAAAATATTGGTGAACCTGTCTGTGAGCGAGCATGTTCCCAGAAAAAATCTCTCGGTTTGTATATTGTTTCGCTAATTGCTAATATGATATCGATTGCAGTTTTGTCTCTGAGAAATACTTGTAGACTAGTATCTTGCACGGGTACGACATTTTGTACCTGAAATCGATCCGGCAGGTTGTGGGTGTGGAGGTAAACAAAGGGTAGACCCACAGTCACACCGACAACCAAAACCCACACCCACACACATCCTAAAATATGAACAGAAAAAAAGTGGCCCAGTAAGTCTAATTGTCGACGAATTTAGAACATAGTCATAGTATGAACCTTAAAAGCTTCACTGACATCGTTCTCGTATTATGTTATTGTGAATATATCTGCGTCATAGTATAACACAGCAATTAGAAGCTAAGAGATTTATTTTCAATCTAGTTCTTTTAGCAGATTTGAAAGATTTAATAGATGTAAAGTGTACGAAAGAACGTGTATTTGATAATGAACATTCAAAATAATTAATCATTTGGCGACGTTTATGGTAATGAGTAACGAGATTTATCATCATCGCGCCATCAGAAGAGTCATAAAAATTTGATACTTGTATAGCATCTGTTGCCAAGTTCATCTAGCTCCCGGATGGCATGTGACATTTTGGCGTCTGCCACCGTTCACAATCGAGGAACCATCTAGCTGATGAAATGTGACTGCGACAGCCTAGAAATCAAGCACTAGTAAAACAATCGCACCATCATCCGAGAATTTGTTCATTTGTAAATTGTATTGTATGATGGTAAATCGTTCGATTACCGTGTGCAGATTGAGTTGGGACACATATTAAGTTTGAAATACTTTTACATCGTTGTACGGCGTAGTCTACCATGCCAGTTAGATCCGTTGTAGAACACTTTTCTTCAGCGTACGAATGGGCACGCTTTAGTTGAAAGACACTTACAGAAAGATAAATTCGGAAATAAAATTCGAAACTAAACTTATTACCGAGAGTTAAATCTCCCACATCTTCTTCTGACATAATCGAAAAGAAATCCATAATTTCATCATGATTAGTTGTCCCCCACTGTGAAGTTCGTTCAATGAGATTGTTTTCTTCGAGGAGCTAAAGAGGGATATGAAACATGTTATACAACAAGCTATTGTTACAGTTATTTACCAGCTGAATTCTTTTTTTGATGAAGTAATTTCATAATTTTTTGACCAACTTCTGAATCTTCTGGTTTTGATGTTGCCATTGGTGGTTGATAGCGATTGATAAGAGCACATACAATTGAGAGATCGCTTTCTAAGTAAATTAATGACGAATTTTGGATGGTATTGGCAAAGTATTTAAATTGTTTAATACGACGATTTGCCGTCTCCACAACCCAACGTACCTTTGTAATGCATCCAGATTGGTTTGCTTCTTTGGCTGAAAATTGGTTTTTACTATCGAGAAATGATGGCATTGCAACACCCAGGCCGATAACTTGCATAACAGAAATAGAATCTCTAAAGCCTCTATCGACTACCACGATATCACTCTAACGAAAAATAGCATGTATTGACGTTTCAGGAAAAAAAAGAATATTACTTCTTCGAGCCAATTGAGTATGTTGTCAATGTTTCGAAGTAGGATATCATTCATTATCGAGGCGTCATTATTCTTAAAGTCTGAAAAAGGGTTCAATACAAGCAACTATATCACCCGTTGTTGTTACAATCATCATCGACTTCAATAAAGATCTTTTCTTATATAAATTGAATGTTTTTCATTGAAATTCATTATTTCGAGACCTCTAAAAAATAATATTAGAAAAAACTGACTCAAAAGTATAGTAAATTATTTCTCACTTGAATGTAAATATAAGTGTCATCAATGACAACGATTGCTGTATTAGAACCACCACCATCACACATTAACTCTCCAGAAATGGTTGTTGCATGATGATCAATAACATCTTGACATGTAACATGTCCGAATCCCAAATTGTATGGTACAAAATTGTTTAATACAGCTTGACGGGCACTATCAATAGTTTTGGAATTTGTTCTCTTGTCTGATAATTGAAACATGCACACTAAGAGATGATTTGATAACCCAAGACGAGGTTTACATAAGTAAATACCAATTGCTGTTTTTATCGATCGATTAGATGAATTACGAATACCAGATGTTGAAATAATTTGAATAAGCTCATTAAAATCATCTTTTGAAAGACTAAATAATAAACAATATTCATCATCTGTAAGGCCTCGTGGGTCATCAAAATTAAATCTTCTCTGTTCATTTAAAAAATAAGTTCTGAGATTTGTTTAAAAGAAGTTAAACATCAGAAGACTTTAATTCTTGATATCGTATTGCGAATGGTCTAATTGCATTAGCAGCTTCTTTAGTTAATTGATCACCAATTAAATGATCTGAGCAACATCGTGCACCCTCTGGTATCCAAATATTGCGTGAAAAGAGTAAAAAGTCTCGATATTTCGATAGAAAGTTCACCACATTACCATGCAGATCTTCACGACAAACACAACATTTTCTAATGACAATTTTTTAAACTCTTATTTATGAAAATTAATATCTTACTCACTTATGTGAAGAGGAAGTCGCATCCAGCTATAATGTAACTATTTCATTATTTGTGGTCTTGTTCACCGTTGAACTTTGCACCGACAATTGAAAAGAAGCATCATCAGTTTGAACTTGAACATCCGTAACATCACTCTTATAAACAAGATATTGAAAACAATGAAAAAAAACGAAAAAAATACCGAATTATCATCGTCGCCAATCTTCATCATCATATCATGTTCCAAACGTGTCACTATAGAAGAAAATTCAGAATTTTCATTTTTTCATTTTTTATACAGTATACGACAAACATTACAAATCTTCATTTCACTAGTGAGAGATTTCATAGTTCGCATCAACATAAACATTCGTAGACACGGTGATTTTAAGGATCGAATAGCAGACCTACAGTTCAAACGAGCACCGCACGGACAACAGCGATCATCCATTGCCACAAACTTTCAGTAGACAAAATTTTATTTAAATGAAATCACAATAAACAGTGACCGGTAGATGAAATGTCTTCGCGATCCCCGGATCAGTTCATATATCTTTTTACCACAAGTCAGCAATTATTTATTATAGATATAATGCCTAGATTGTTCTCTTCACATAAATCATTTCTCTTACAACAACAATCATCATGAGAGCCCCATCCCATCTTGATCATAAAGATACGAAACAACTTTTAAATTTTTCATTTGGTTCAAAAAAATGCAAGATTTTTTTCAATATCAGTAACATCCCCCATCACTCTATTCGACTACAATCTTTCAAAACAGCATTGCTAAATAAATCCCATCATCATATATATTAGCACAGATCATACGATCTTTTCTCAACGTTTCAAACGAGATATACCTTTCCACTTTTATATAGATTTTTTTACAATCATTGAACTATTAGCATAGATATTGCAGCGGATCGCCACAGTACACGAGAAAAAAAAATCAGGAAATTAGGACCTAACGTTAGTTGTAGCGACACACGCTGCGAAGCTATGCATAATAGTTTAAATAAATCTCGATCAGGTTTATTGGTCAGAATATAAACCAGAGTGGATCTACATGTTTCAGATAATAAAAACATGACTACCATCCTTAGAACATGCATATATATCATATAGCCGTAGGACATTTCGATATGAAAGAAGGCAATTGAACTATTATCTCTCTTATGTTTATATGTCATTCGATAGAAAAATAAAAGAGCTTCGATTTGATATATAAATGGACTAAACATAAGAATGAACTAGTGAAGCAATAACCACTAGACTAACATCTATCGTAGTCATATAATATAGAGACAAGAGGGGTAGCTAAATCGGCTTGTGTGCAATGTGGAATGCATCAAATTGTCTGATTTCGATAGAAATAAACTTCTGACAGGGAAAATAATAAAATTGGAAGAACAAAGTCGAATTTCGATAGGGGGCTGATTTTGCCCCTTATCGGTCCCCTCTTTTGTCGAACCGTCGTAAGATGATAAAAAACTAAATAACTTGTCTTTTCTTTATTTATGCTGCTATTAAAAGCTTTCTAATCTGATTGAGTGATGATATACCGCAAAGTTGTCACAATTTCAGAGATTTTTCGGAAACTTTTACGAATACAAGTGGACGCATGATTATATACGTGCGCACAAACATACAAACATGCGTACGCATTTTATTTTATTTCGCATGATAATTCTTTCAGTCGAACGAATAAGAAATACTCTCATTGACTTGGATAGTATAAAAACAATCTCATGACTCAATAAATGTGATAGATGCATAATCGATGACTAAATGGTTCTTTTTTTTATCATTTACAGTCACATGAGCATAGAAAAGAAAGAAGAAAAGGACTATTTGAATGTATAGAAAGACGTCACTATGAATATATATGCATGATTTTTCTTTTCTTTAATGATGATGTACACCGTTGCCTATGAGAAGAGAAAAATCCCATTCTAAAGACGAAAAAACCCTATCTCATTCGTCATCTATGCAAAAAAATAATTTTGGAGATTTTCCCCCTGGCTACACGGCCTACAAATATATAAAGCTGAAGCACAACTGTATGATCATACCATTCGAATACTTTTTCATATTCAGTTACCAACTTCTCCAGAAACAGCAATGAAGCAACTCAGTCCAATGATTGGTTTAATCATCGCTTTAGTGTTGGTAGCAACAACATACATGGCACAAGCTGCTCCATTTGAACATACAAATGTTCAACGCGCTCTGACCCATTTAATACAGAAACGTACTCTTCGTTCACTTTCTAGGTGACTTCACTTCTCAGCATACTCTACAAAATGCATCTGAAATAATTCCAGTAATCGAATACAGCTCTGCTTACACTACTACTGCCAACATATCATGTGCTCTTCATTCATATCGCAAGTTCTCAAAGATTACTCCATGTCTGCAAATATTTGAATAAAATCTTTATTTGAATTATCCATTTATCCCGTGTTCATTGATAATCCAACAATACCGAAACCTTTGCATCGTACGGGGAAAAATATCTTTATAGAATCTTTATTTGAAGTATTCATTTCTCGTGTTTTCATACATAATGCAATAAACCCCAAACCTTTGTCTCGTATTGGGGAAAATATCTCAACATAATCTTGGTTTGAATTATCAATTTGACCACTTTTCAATCATAATGCAATAAACTCGAAGTCTTTGCCTCGTATTGTGTAAAATATCTGAATACAATCTTGCTTGAATTGTTCATTTCTTCTGTTTTCATCGATCCTGCAGTCAATTGAAAACCTTTGACTCCTATCGGCGAAAATATCTGAAAAGAACCTTGGTTTGAACTATCCATTTGTAGTCTTTTCATGGAAAATTCCAAAAACTCGAAACTTTTGCCTCGTATGAAGGAAAACATCCGAATGCAATCTTTATTTGAATTATTCATTTCTCGCGTTTTCATGGAAAATCAAACAAACGCTATACCTTGTTTGAATCAAGCGAAATTTTCGAATACATCACTTGTTTCAAATATTCATTGTGCATATTTTCATTGATCATGCAATCAAGTCGAAATCTTCGCTACAAATCGACAACCTTTTCGAAAAGATCAATTGTTACAGTTATTCATTTGTCTTGTTTTCATCGATCATGCGATCAACTACAAAGATTTGCCTCGTCATGGAGGAAAATATCTTAATACAATCCTATTTTCAATTATTCACTTGTCGTGTTTTCATCGATCATGCAATCAACTCGAAACCTTTGCTTCGTAATGAGGGAAATATCTGAATGAACTCGTAGTTTGAATTATTCATTTGTCCCCTTTTCGTCAATAATGCAATCAACTCGAAACCTTTCTCTAGTATACGGGACAATATCTGAATAGAATCTTTCTTTGTATTATTCATTTATCTTATTTTCATCGGTCATGCAATCAACTCGAAACCATTCCTGAGTATTCAGACAAATATCTCCATGGAGTCGTGGTTCGAATTAGTCATTTGTCCTGTTTTCATCGATCACGCAATCAACTTCACACCTTTCCTTCGTATCGAGGAAAATATCTGAATGGAGTCGTAGTTTGAATCATTCGTTTGTCTCGTTTTCATCCATCATATAATGAACTCGACACCTTTGCCTCCTATTGGGAAAAATATCTAAATAGAATCATACTTTGTATTATCCATTTGTCGTGCTTTCATCGATCATGCAATCAATTCGAGGCCATTGCTTTGTATTCAGGCAAATATCTCCATGAAGTCGTGGTTTGAATTATTTATTTGTCCTGTTTTCATCGATCACGCAATCAACTTCACACTTTTGCCTCGTACCGCAGAAAATATCTGAACAGAATCTTTCTTTCTATTATTCATTTCTCTTGTTTTCATCGATGATGCCATCAACTCGAAACCTTTCCCTCCTATTCAGAAAAATTTTCGACTAGATAAATTATTTTAAATATTCCTTTCTCGTGTTGCCATTGATCGTGCAACCAAGTCAATAACTTTACCTCGTATCGGACAAAAAAATCTGAATAGAAACCTGGTTTCCATTATTCATTTGTCGTATTTTCATCGATCATGCGGTCAACTCAAAAGCTTCACTTCGAAACGAGGAAAATTTTCGAATACATCACTTGTTTAAATTACTCATTGGTCGTGTTTTCATCGATGATACAATCAACTCGAAAGCTTTGCGTCGTACCGGAAAAATATTTGAACAGAATCTTACTTTAAACTATACATTTCTCACCGTTTCATCGATCACGCAATCGACTCGACACTATTCCTTAGCACTGAAGAAAATTTTCGAATAGATTAATTGTTTAAGCAACTCATTTGTCATGCATTTATCGATCATGGAATCAACCCGAAACATTTGCGTCATATTGAGAAAAATATCTCAATAGGATCTTACTAACATTAATAATCTGTCCTGTTTGTATCGATCATACAATCAACTAGAAACGTTTGGATCGTATTGAGGAAAATATTTGAATAGAATCTTCGTTTGAATTATTCATTCGTTGTGTTTCCATCGATCATGCAATCAACCCAAACCGTTGCGTCGTGTTGAGGAAAGTATCTCAACAGAATCTTGCTTTGAAATATTCATTTGTACGCTTTTCATCGATCATGCAATCGATTCGAAACTTTAGCCACGTATTAAGGAAAATATCTGAATAGAATCCTACTTTGAATTATTCATTTCTCGTCTTTTTATCGATCACCTAATTAACCCACAAACTTTGCGCCGTATTGAGAATAATGTCTGAATAGACTCTTTCTTAAAAATCTTCATTTGTCGTGTTCTCATCAATCATACAATCAACTCGAAACTTTTCTCACCTACCGGCAAAAAAAAATCTGAATAAAATCTTACTTTGAATTATTTATTTCTCGTGTTCCCATCGATCCTACAACCAACTTGACACCTTTGCTTCGTACCGTGGAAAATATTTGAATAGAAACTTGGTCTCAATTATTCATTTATCGTATTTTCATCGATCATGCAATCAACTCAAAACTTTTGCCTCGGATTGAAGAAACTATCTGAATAGAATCGTTA